ACACACACACACACACACACACACACACACACCTCCACACACACACACGCTGCCACAGTCTCCCTGGCTGCCTGAGCAGGTCTGTTCTCCAGCAGACGGTGAATCCGTCTTTGAGGAACATCAGTAATGTCAGACCAACGTTTTCATCCTGAGCTAAACAAACAAAACAAAGTCCAGCGCATGTTTCTGTTTTGAAGGCTTGAGGTTTGTAGGATCAGCAGGTAGCTGCTCACCTGGCTGCAAGACCGTGATGATGTCATGGCGATGTCATGCTGATGCTCTGCTGGCGCTCCTCAGGACTACCTGCTGTGGAACCGCCTGGGAGCGACGCTGGCCAACGGGAACCGCAGCGAGGAGGCGGTGGAGGCGTACACCAGAGCTCTGGAGCTGCAGCCCGGGTTCATCCGCTCCAGATACAACCTGGGAATCAGCTGCATCAACCTGGGAGCTCACAGGTAACACACCTGTCAGGACTGTGTGGACAGTGTGTGCTTTTGTTGAACCCCGTAAATGATTTAATTGATGCGCCGCCAGTTAACAGCAAATGTCATCTGAAACACTCCTGAGCGAGGCGGCGTCCCGGCGGCCTGGAGGCCCGGCGGCCCGGCGGCCTGGCGGCGGCCCGGCACATGTCAGACAGAGAACCCAAGGTCTCTGTAGAGGTCCTTCTCAGCAGCACGATGATGTCACATACATGACAACCCGCGCTGTCCTCTGGTAGTCAGGCATGTGGCAGCAGGCAGCTGCACAAGGTAGTGTGGTGTTGTAGTTTTGCTCTGACCTAGTTCTGGTTCTGGTTCTGCAGGGAGGCGGTCAGTAACTTCCTCACAGCCCTGAACCAGCAGAGGCGGACTCAGCGCTGCAGCCACCAGCAGATGTCGGCCAACATCTGGTCGGCCCTGAGAATCGCCATCTCGCTGATGGACCGACCCGAGCTGTTCCAGGCCGTCAACATCGGGGACCTGGACCTGCTCATGAGGGCCTTTGACATGGGCGACGTCTGACCCGGAGCCCTGGGCTTCAGAACCAGCGACCACAGTGGAGACGCTGGACAGGAGACAGTTTGGTTTGAAACCAAAGAGACGATGAAAATCCTTTGCAATATAACAGCACAACCCTTTAGCTTCCTGTCAGACACGGATCATCGCGTGGAGCTTCATCTTCAGGGCGTCTGCAGCTCCTTCTACAAGTCCTACATGGTTCCTTCTCACCTTGAAAATCAGGCCTTAAAGCCATCAACCGTCTGAAATATGAGTTTAAAATGTTCCCATTGAAAGTGTCCGACAGCCTGCAGTAAACCACCACACCACTGCTGAACCAGTGGAGGACCTTCAGAAGTTCACGTCAGACTGTAGATTCTCCTCAGAGCTTCAGGAAGAAGCAGCTGGACTCGTCTTTTAGGTTCAAGAATCTCAATATGCTTTAGGTTTCAAGTCTAGTTTCTTTTGACTGAAGACTAGCGTCAGACAGAAACAGGTTGATACTGAAGCAGCTGCAGTGGGTCACATTTTAGAATAAAGTCTGTTTGAATTCTCCTCCATGTCCTCCTGCTGTGAGGTCCAGTGGAGGGTTATGTTCTACTAACTCATCAGTACAACAGCCCCATCAGGTTTCACAGCATGTCTGCAGCCGAGTGAAGGCTCCACAGTGTGCCCAGTCTGTCATTTCATGTTCAAAAGTCTCAAATATTTCCTCTTTCTCAGTTTTTTCTTGTTCTTTGAGTAATATGACAAAAAGCAGCAAATTGCTTGACAATCCTGGAAATGTCCTTCAATGGACAGTCAACGTTTCTTCACTGTGGCTCAGTTTTCACCACAACATATAATCCTGCATCTGCATGGAAATGGAACAGCATGAAGAACCAACATCTGGAACCACCATGTTCCAGATGTTAAACCCTGGAGCTAATGTTGTCTCCTCGTTCTGCAGATGTTAAACTATCTCCAAGTCTCCAGACTTTTCCTCTCTGCTCATCAGCCGTAGAAAGATGTTCCACCATCATGTAGAAAGATGTTCCACCATCAGATGTAGAAAGATGTTCCATCATCATGTAGAAAGATGTTCCACCATCAGCTGTAGAAAGATGTTCCACCATCAGATGTAGAAAGATGTTCCATCATCATGTAGAAAGATGTTCCACCATCAGTAGAAAGATGTTCCACCATCATGTAGAAAGATGTTCCACCATCAGATGTAGAAAG